CTGGAGTACCTCAAATCTAGCTCTTAAAAGTTTTTGCTTCCAGCGGCGGCGTGTGACCCCGACCTGAGCTGGCATCAGGTCAACATGATCAACTTTTTCTATGTATACTGCTCACACGTTGCTGAAGATATGAAATGGATAGTTTACTGGCAAGCTTGAAAGGTTAGCTGTGTGTGTGTGAGGAAAGGGGGGGGGGGTAAGTCTAATACCTTACACACGGTGATTTAGAAATCTTAATGACCGTAGATTTCATTATAAGAGTTACCTTTATTTACAGTTGATAGTGATTACATGGTAGTTATAGGTAAAGGTGGTGTGTGTGTGAGTCAAATTGCCGGTATCAGTAAGTCCTGGACGTGGAGATTATTGCGTCAGGTAAATGTTTGTGTTAAAACTATTTTCTTTAATAATGGACGGTAAACTATTGCTTATTGACAGGTGTTAAAATTATTGCAGAAAATAATGTTTGGGTGTTAAACCCATTGTCTGTGATTACACTTTGGCTATAAAATAACTGTTTGAGATAACATTCAGGCGTCTTAGTTACTACTTTTGATGACGATTAAGTGATAAACTTACGGTTAGCTGTTGTGTGTCGATGACCTGTTAACGTTAATAACTGTAGACAAAACTCAACGTAAATAAATGCTTAAAGCCGAGCGATGGCCAGAATGATAACATAAACACGTCATATTATGTCACCTATAAGCGGATGATTTACAGCTGTTACATCATCCACCTAAATCTAGATGGATGACTGCTATCCTTTCAGTTTGACCCACAGCAGCCTCACTCATCCAACTAAACACAGATGGATGACTGAAATTTATCCATATTCGTCGAGGGCGAGGATAAGTATACTTAATACCTCCTGACGTGTGTGGTCCGTAGATAATGCGACCCCTCACTCAGTATTCATGATGTATTCACTCAAAATCGGATACCAGAAAGGGGTCAACACAGAGTCCAGTCTCAGCGCTGAACCTCTCCGTCTGTCTGTCTGTTTGTCTGTCCTTTTCTGTCTGTCTGTCTTTGTCACTGAACTACTGCCAGCTAATACGTCACGATTGCTAACTGTCTGGCTAAGTAACTGAATGACAGACTAATTGATTAACTGACTTACCGACACAAATGGATAGTCACAACAGCAAAGAGAGATCAGGTAACAAGAGGTTCTGGTCAGCTGTTCACCGCAAATCAGAATTAACAACTTGTCTCGTTCTGTGTCAGTTATAATGAAGGACACTGTTGGAGGCCTCGACCCTCTGTGGCTCTGGTGAAAGGACTGGTAGACGGGAGCTATACAGTTTTTTTTTAGTTTAACAAATTTATTGACAAAGCTTGGAGTACAGTTAGCCTATTCTGAGTAATTCATTCAGGTCTTGACACTGAGGGTGGTATCACTTCTCACTGCCAATCAGGACAGAGGTTCATACACAAAGGAATAGATCTTATTCATTAGCAGTATATATAGGTCAAAGTCATGTGGGTGATGTCACTGTTCACTGCCATGCAGGATAGAGGTTCGTACACAAAGAAATACATCATATTCATGAGCAGTATATATAGGTCAGATTCATGTGGGTGATATTACTGTTCAATGACATGCAGGATAGACTTCGTACACAAAGAAATACATCATTTTCATGAGCAGTACATATAGGTCAGAGTCATGTGGGTGATGCCCTGATTCAATGTAGCAATTACAAAGTTCATGATACAATAAGCCAGGTGGCCTGAAGTCTTTGACAGTGTCACATTCAATAATACAGTTCCAGTGTATGCTTTAAAGGTTTATCACAAAGTTTACATGATGAGTGTTCAGGTATGAGTACAGCGTTACTAACTTGCCAGATGTGTCTGTAGCCTAGCCTAATTCTGGCCACAACTATATCACATTGTCTAGTTCTGTCCTTATGCTGGCCATACCGGTACCTCTTGTCACAAAATTTGTCATATTTACTAATGCTACAACTGCCAGGTCTCTCTGCATTTCTCAGTTCTTCTAGATCAGAGCTCATGATTCTGACTTGAATGTTCTTAAGTACAGGCCAAGATCACGGTCAATATTTTCTTTCTTACATGCCTCATTGGTAAGTCTATCAGCAAAGTCATGATACCTAATTCCAACATGGGACGGAATCCACACATATTCGATACGAGAGTTGTTCTCATTGGCAGTTATCACATTTCCTTTAATATCGCATACAACTTTAGACATAGAACCTGACGCGCTGTTCATTGATTTCAAAGCACTTTGAGAGTCACAGAATATCACTCCACCTCCATTTTCTTTAAGGTAGTCTGTGGCTAAGTACTGTAGATTCCAGTTAGTTCAGTTTGTGCTGTGCTGGCCCAGTTGTTCAGCTTTTGCTTGTTTGACACTACCATCTCCTTTTCTTTATATATTACAATTGAACAACCTTTTCTATCTGTGTTTGTCTGCACAGAACCATTAGTAAAAGTATAACATTTGATTTAATACTTTCTATGTGTCTGTTAATAGTTTCTAGTGTGACACATCTCATCACATCGGTGTTTAACATTTGCTTACTCCCAACAGGAGTATAACTAATAGGAACTGATATATCCAGCCAAGGAGGAATGGCATTAATGGGTTCGTGTGGGGTGATTGGAACATTCATTTTCAAGAGATCTGCAACACTTTTACGAAGCCACGCCCCAAAGAGAGTCTTTTATGGAAGGTTAGCGAGATAGTCTGGGTTACTTAGATGAACATCAACTCAATTTCAGCTATAGTTTGGGGACCATTGTTCTTCAAAACTTTGACTCAAAACATGGTATTAAGTAGAGCGATCTTCTCAGATAGAGGGGGCAGCCCGAGCTCTTTCCTCATCTTTACAATTCTGGTTGATTTTGGGCATCCTAGAATGATGACCATGGCTTCATTTTGCGCTACCTCAAGGCTGTTGAGTTGCTTAGGCGGAATAGTCACAAGATGGAGAGCATGATAGTCGCTACAGAACGTAGAAAGTACGAGCATAGGTGATATTAATTCCATAGCCCTTGCCAACAAGGGTTCTGAGGGGTTTAATGCGCTGCATTATTTTGACACGAAGGTTGCCGACAAAGTTTGCATCATTCCCACAAATTCCAAGATATTTAAAAGAGCTACATAGTTCCAAGGGCATGCTGTTAATGTTATAGTCAAGAGGCAGGGGGTGAGCAGGACGAGGATTGAGGACCCTCGTCTTGTCAACACATTCCACAGTCCTCCGAGTAAATACATCCAGCAAGGCTTGGAGCCTGAGCTTGAACTGTTTTCTAAAAGCTCCCCCACTTACCGTGTAACGCCGATCAAAAGTGAGTGATTACGATTTACGAGACATAAATCCCTTTACCTTTATACTTATATGATATTGTCTCTAATATGTGGGTGTCTTAACATGTGTTGTTTTGGTGTTAATATGCAGAAATTACCCTCTATCATTCTTATAAGTGATTTCTTAATGTTTAACCTTGAACTTGTGTGATTATTCAGTAAGGGTACTTATATTAATTTCTGGCCTGCATCTAGGTTTTATTATAATTATTATTATTATTTGCATGTAAATAAGTATTTTAAGTACAATAATAAATATCTCACTGTTCGATTTACCTATCCTCTACCATACTTAATTGATACCTATTTAATTAACTGCTATTACCTTGATTACACTTTGCCTTGTCTACTGTGTTGAAACTTGTGGTTGACAATCTTACATAATTATCAAGTGATCATTGGAATTGCTGTAACAAATCACCTTATGGTCAGCTAGAAGTTTCAATAATCCGTAACAGCTGGTAGGATGGAGGTAGTCAAAGGGCTGGTAGGAAGGGGTTGGTGAAGAGGGCCGGTAGGAGGGAAGAGAAGAGGTCTGATTGTAGGGAAGTAGTGCGGAGGACAGGTACAAGAGAGGAAGTGAAGAGGGGATATTAAAGAGGGTTGGTAGGAGGGAGGTGGTGAAGAGGGCTGGTAGGAGGGAGGTAGTGAAAAGGGCTGGTAGGAGGGAAATAGTGAAGCAGTAATAGTGAAGAGGGCTGGTAGGAGCGGGTTAGTGAAGAAGTCTGGAAGCTGCACTTCGCCCGCCACTCCTCCTCACGCACTCTTAATTTGGCTCCCTGATATACTGTAAATTTGGCACAGCGTTGATCCCAGTCATTGTCAAGAATATAAGAAAGAAATTTGTCCGGGCTACTCTGGGCAGTGGGTAGTCTGCCATATTAAATCTGTCAGCCACACTAGGACAGGTATTGGAGATAAAACAGACGGAAGAACAAAGATACGAACGGACAAATTCACATTAGCAGCACAATAAAAACTTGGTCAATTTTCACCAGGCAAGAAGCACAGGTGTGAGGACACACACCAGCAAGACAACAAGTACCGGTATACACGCACAGAAGGACAGCGGGTACATAAGACATAAATAACTTGGACACAGAAAGTTTCTTCAGAAGTATCAGTACATCCAAGTATTGTGGACAGATACAGTAATTCTCAGGTTGTAACTGTATATTAGTGTGAACTAAGATATGATTAAAACTGTAACGGAAACCGAAAACCATAGTTATTTGATATAAAATACAAGTACAGTTATTTCCTTTTATGTGGACTCTATAAATGTGGTGCCATAATTTACTCACAGATATGAGTAAAACAAGTAAAAAATGGGGGCAACACGAGATTACAACCCAACGAAGACGTGGGTGTTCACTAGAACAATACAAGCACAATGAAGAGGCAGGATTCCTTCCTCCTGCGGGGTCAACACTGTCGGGGTCACACAGGAGTCCACTTTACCTCCGCCTAATATGGAGGATATGCACAACGTTAACCTTGCCTCGTATGCTTGACCTGTTTCCTTAGCTTGTTACTGCCTTCCTTCAGCTTAGCTTCATAACTGCCTGTAATGAGGAATATCGACTGTAAAGACCTGGGTCAAATAACAAGAGTAAAGCTGAAGAAGAGGTGACGTCTAGAGCTGAGGGAGAGGTGACGTCTAGAGCTGAGGGAGAGGTGACGTCTAGAGCTGAAGAAGAGGTGACGTCTAGAGCTGAGGGAGAGGTGACGTCTAGAGCTGAGGGAGAGGTGACGTCTAGAGCTGAGGGAGAGGTGACGTCTAGAGCTGAGGGAGAGGTGACGTCTAGAGCTGAGGGAGAGGTGACGTCTAGAGCTGAGGGAGAGGTGGCGTCTAGAGCTGATGGAGATTTGACGTCTAGAGCTAAAGGAGAGGTGACGTCTAGAGCCGAGGGAGAGGTGACGTCTAGTGCTGACGGAGAGGTGACGTCTAGAGCTGAGCGAGAGGTGACGTCTAGAGCAAAAGGAGAGGTAACGTGTAGAGATGAGGGAGAGGTGACGTCAAGAGCTAAGGGAGAGGTGATGTCTAGAGCTGAAGGAAAGGTGACGTCCAGAGCTGAGGGAGAGGTGACGTGTAGAGCTGAGAGAGAGGTGTCGTGTAGAGCTGAGGGAGAGGTGACATCTAGTGCTGACGGAGGGGTGACGTGTAGAGCTGAGAGAGAGGTGACGTGTAGAGCTGAGGGAGAGGTGACATCTAGTGCTGAAGGAGAGGTGACGTGTAGAGCTGAATGAAAGGTAAAATTTAGAGCTAAATGAAAGGTGACGTCCAGAGCTAAGGGAGAGGTGTCGTCTAGAGCTGAAGGAAGCGTGACGTCCAGCGCTGAGGGAAAGGTAAAATCTATAGCTGAAGGAGAGGTGATGTCTAGAGCTGAAGGAGATGTGACGTCTAGAGCTGAGGGAGAGGTGACGTCCAGAGTTGAAGGAGAGGTGACGTCTATAGCTGAAGGAGAGATGACGTCTAGAGCTGAGGGAGAGGTCACGTCTAGGGCTGAGGGAGAGGTCAGGTCTAGAGCTGAGGGATAGTGACGTCTTACAACACGTGAGGACGAAGGAGACACTCCGAGATAGTAAGAGTTATGAGGGTGGATGAATCTTTGTGTTCACGTTTCACAAAGTTCGAACACGTGCCATGTGTCTGTACTGTACTGTACTGTACTGTACTGTACTGTACATTTTTACTATCCCGGTCCAAACTAAATGATGTGTGTTGCTGTTAGGTAATATCCACATAATTTATTCGATGGCTATACACTTAACTATGTATAAGGTTTGCTCTTTTAGTTAAGTTACACATTACCCTCATAAACATAAAGGTGACTGGCGTCGGTGTAACTGTTTTCTGTCAGGCTAGAGATAACGGACGAGTCCTTCAGGAGTTATAATGTACAATGAAGGATACATGAAGGACACGACGACGAGTTCAACGGATATATCATTAGATTATTATTAAATATATACAGTAAGTACTGTACAGTGTACAAGAATACATAAATAAATAATATAAACATCGAGAACGTACAGAAATGTGGAGATTAATTTCTTTAAACTCTGGAAAACAGTACAGTACACAGTAGGTGAGAAATTATCCAACACTGCGGTCGGAGTTAAGCTGGGTAAAGGTGTTGAGGCAAGAAACTGATGACAGGAAGAACATTACTAAAAGTATAGTGACACAAAGATAAAATTCCAGGAAGATAGAGCATTTAAAGCTGATAAAAGGTCAGCCTTAAATCACATTGCGTACGCTCTCGTCTCGCTGCTACATTGTTTACAGCTGTTTGCATAGATAAACACGTAATACGACGAATTTCAAGTGCGTTTTAAATATTAATTTTTGCATTTAAAATTTTTTAATCAACTTGTTTACCCTTATCTAAAGTATCTTTTGAGTAATGATGCTAACGTTTTAATCATATTTGAGTAATTTGCAATATTTTACACAAAATTTACCAACGACTAATGAAATCGGGCAGGGCCCACGTAAAAATGGGCTTAACCAAAACTGGTTTCAACTAGGCGAAATCCTTTTCCATTCTTTCACGCCATACGCTTTGTTTTAGGTCCTATCCAATATACTACCGCATATAGAATTGTTTATATTATTATATCAGTTATTTTATTGTCTCACATGCCCACAACTCTCCAATATTAATCAAAATATTCTCCATAAGCGGCCATGATCCGCACATTTACACACGGTGTACTATCGTGCACAAAAGTCTTGTCCACTACCCATCCACAGTGAGGGTTCGAATAGCCTTGAGTCAGAAGTTTCGAAACAGCCGGGGGAAATGCTATGGTCGGCCAACAGATGTCTCCCACTGTAATGTGTGGGGGGGATAGAGGAGGTGGGGGGTTAGTCTAGTAACAGGCTGTGTGTAGGTGGAGCATAACATCGTGAATTCTGATAACAACAAGAATGTCATGAAGATAATTAATATTATTAAGCATGGTGAGAGATGTGTAACGGGTAAATACAAGCACTACAACGACCATATCTCTGCCGTTCATGGCTAGGACGGTGAGACTGATGGGCACACCAGTAATTAATTCTCCGTGATTACCAGTAATGGTAGTCACGGAGAATACACAAGTTGTTACCAAGGTTGGCGCCACCCACACCAGGGGAAGGAAGTGATGTCGAACACTGAAACATGCCGAGGTCTCATTTCTACCATCGTCGTCACCAACAGGTAAGTCACATTAATTTGTCAGCATAGCCCATGTCGTCCTTATACTATTGCAGGGTGTCCCATGAGTGACAGCAGATATTTGTAGAGGTGAAAGAATATGTGATATTGAGTTGAAAATCTTCTATACACATAAGCATTTTTCTTTATTCTTTAGGCGTGAGGTGGGTTGTAAAAATTACTCAGGGCAAAAATTTTGCCATGTTATATTTTATTTTCCTTGCCAATTGCAGCCATACTGTGTGCTGTTGTAATCCTTATTGGTGGATTACATAAGGCCTATTAATAGCGTGAAAACCCGTTTGAAGATTTTGTAATGTTCCATAACTTGCATTAAACAACATCATACGTTCACGAGTTCCAACTCCGCGCCTAGCCTCCCTCCCTTCCCCCCCCCACCCAACTATTAAACCTCATAATTTGAGCATCGTGGGTTACCACACCTAAACACTAATCGTCTACTTATTCTCTCCCCACACTCCCCCTCCACCATCCCCCCACTCCACTCCTCCCTCCCCCACCTCTTCCCTTCATCCCTCCCCCAAGACTAACGTCAATCGAACATTCCATCCCATCACATTACCTTCCCCTGCATTCCCCAACCCCCCTCCTCCTATTCTACCCATGGCGACGATTTGGACTACTGTAATGAACCCTCACAGAACCGACGACATGGCTCCTCCCCCTTGTAATTAGAGTTAAAACCTTTACAACAAAGGTCAATCCCACGTAACTTGAGCCGGATTAAGATATGTGGAAAAAAAACAAGCAACACCCATGGCCACCCCCCTACCCCAACCTAAAATCATAACCACCACGTCTCTATCTCCATCCGTTTCCCTCTATCTATAATAAAAAGTGTAACCCTACTCAGAAAAAATAATGAATGGGCCCTCCAAACAAATTAAAGATGAGGTGCACCCCACCCAAATAGGGATGGGCCCTCCATTTCCTTTCGCCTTCTTTTCTCCACATCCTTTCCTCCCTCCCATCGCCCCAGTCACCCCAACCAACCACCCAATACCATGCAGTGGGCAGAAGGCCACAGACTTTCTCTCCTAAAAGTCTGTTCCGTTTCACCCACATTCTTTCACTACTAAACCTTCTTCCCCCTTTCTTATATTTCGTTATCCGTATCTCCCGCCTCGACTCCGCCATTTGTAATGGTTGTCTTGCGTAATTTGTAAAATCCACCTCACGGCTAAACGTAAACCGAAAAATCCATATATGTATAGAAGTTTTATACTCAGAATCACATATTCTTTCACCTCTACAAATATCTGCTGTAATTAGTGGGACACCCTATTATAATTATATGACAGTTGTTATATGAGCTCCTTAGTTAACTTCACCATAAAAATATGGTGTTTGATGTGCTATGCGTTTGCCGCACGTTACCTTACTCGGTTATGTTACACCCCCAGTTGCAACCTGGGAGTTTGGGTTGGGTAATGTAGTATTTTGAGCAGAAATGGAATTCAGAACGACTCAATGAACATGAAGAAAAACGTTTTTATATAACGAACCCTAACGTAATGTAACCTATTACAGTTATATGTAATCTGGGACGAACATGTCATAGCTGAAAATTGTCAAAGAAATATGTAAAGCAGTGGAAAACCATATATTTTGATTATCGGCGAGGCTAACTACCTATAAACAATTAATATTTGACGATTGGCAAAAGTCCTGGGAAAATGAACCAACAAGTCATAAGCTAAAAATGATCAAATTATCAGTTTATCCTTGGTCATCATCAAAACAATCCTCTCGACATCACGAAACTATTCTGAATCGTCTAAGAATTGGGCATACGCGATTGACGCATGGCCAACTCATGTCTTCCCCTAATGGAGCCCCACCTATATGCTCCAACTGCCGAACACAAATAACAGTCCAACATATTCTCATTGAATGCCCTATTTATAATCGGTATCGAACAATGTGCTTCACTAACCCTACAATGTAAGATATTTTAGCAGACCCCAAAATTTTCCCTAAGTTCAGTTTTGACCTTTTTGAAATACTGTAATCTCCTCCAAACAATATAACACTAAATTATAGAAACACAAATATATGTTAACTAATCCCTCTGGCCAGTCCTAGGATAGACTCAAATTGGTGTAAGTGGTCTGGTTAAACTAAATCTTGATGATGATGATTATCGGCGAATGTTCACTTTACAGTCGCAGGGGTGGTGGTGGAGGTGTGTGGGGGGGGATCCACTTGCAGTTCACTATGAATACATGAAATAGGAAGGGTTTCTTGGGCAGTTGATCCTAAAAGATTTACCAAAACGTTATGTCAGAGTAATAATACTTAACCTAGGTTTTACTAATACCATTAATTTACTCTAGTATATAAAAGCCTGCATCAGTTACCACAACATAATATTACTCTGCCATTTCAGATATGCCTGCAGGACGAGCAAATTCGTCGGCAGTGATTGCTGAGCGAGGCCAAATCATCCGGATGTGGAGAGCCGGGGCAACTGTGCCGAACAATGCTGTCGAAGTGGGAAGGAGCACCAAGACGATTAGGAGGTGGATCCGCCAGTGGGAGGAAGAGGGCTCAGTGGAGACGACACCTCGAAGCGGGAGGCCACGAGTAACGTCGACAAGGATGGACGCCATGATCATGGCAGCTGCAACGGCATATCCAATGCGAACATCAGTGGAGCATACAAGAAATCAGGGCCTCAACTGCCATCACATGACGACGAGACGCCGACTTCATGAAGCCAGGATCGACTGTCATATTCCAG